TTTGGGGTTCGGGGTTTAGGGGTTCAGGATTTAGGGGTTGAGGGTTTGGGGTTATAGATAATGGAGGTATTATAGAGATAGAGAACATAGGGATGTCACGGGGATACTATAGGGAGATCAAACGCATGCAGTGGGACTATTGGTAGTGATGTTGTAGGGATTTTGGGATATGTAGCGTTTAGTGAGAATCAAATTGGAAAGACATGGGAAGCCCGGTGGAAATTGGATCATGGGGATATTGCAGAGATGTATGGGGTTTACACGGAAACTGGGTAATAGGGAGTAGGATTTGCAAACCAGGGGCCAAAGGGGGAAGACTACAATTTGTGAAAGCTTCCATCTAGATGTTTGAGTATTGTATGTGGGGATTATGCGGGCATTATGAAGGGATCCTTTGGGGGGCGGTATAGGCATTACCTAAAGATTGCTTCGGGGGTTATCTCTAGATGATGTGATATGTGCTTGGGAGCATGCTTGAAAGTCAGGCTTCAAACTCTTATTTAGGCGCTACTGGAGTGTTGACGGAACCGATGCAACGCGCATCCAGTGCCTGTGATAGAAGGGTTGAGTTTATTTGCTGCTGCAGTAGCAATATCCCCGTCCCATACCTATAATCTCCCTGTAAATTCCACTATGGTCTCTCTCTATAAGACATACTATGATATCTGTCGCAGCAAGCTTCTTGGAGAGATGGAGCCAGTCTCGAAGCATGCAAGCGATGTACCAGCTAGGATTTTGACTAGCTCCTCAACTGGACAATACTCATTCTTCACCTTCTCGAACATCGACCATCGGTATCCTACAGGAAACGCCAGCCTTGCGGTCGTGGGACTCAATTCCAGTCACAGCAGGGCCCGGCTCTCAGCCGAACATAGCTGAGCTGATTCGTGGGTTTAGGGTCTTTAGGGTCTTTAGAGTTAAGGCTAGGGTTTAGGGATTTGGGGTTTTGGGGTTAGGGTTTGGTGGACCTGGCAAAGGTTTGACCCGGCACGCTACAAGCAGACGAAGGTCGCTGGCTCAGCACACTCAGGGAGGATTTACTTTATAATAAGCCCTACAGAATCCCCGATATCCCCCTACGTTCATGCTGCTCTAGCTTGGCAAGATGAAGTAATCCCCTCACACTATGCAGGGTTTAGGGTTTAGGGGTAAGAATATTGCAGCACCTCCACACCCTTGTATTACATATTCCTTCACAAGAGACCTTTTCTGTTGGCGGCCATATCTAATATCAGGGGTGCGGGGGCGTGGGGGCGGGGGGGGTCATATGAGTATGAGTG